TATAATTGAAATTCCGATGTCAATGGGTTGATATGGTCACTTAGCATTATTTCCGCCTTTTTAAAAACATTTGCTTTGTGAAGTTAATCAAAGTTACTTAGGTCTCTACCAACTGTTCTTGTCGGAGATAAAAAGTTAAACTCGTTGGTTTGAATCACTGTTTTAGTCCTAATCTTCATAAAAGGCTGATTGGTAGATTCCGAATCTATTAACAGATTTTAAAAAGTCCTCCCAACAGGGGAATTCATCTCCAACTTTCAGCAAATATGTTCAGCCATCGTCTGATGATGAAAACATCACATCAACTTGCGACGTGCGGTACAGCAACAGGTTGAGTTGGCCAGTTGACCGGAAATCGCGCGCGATCTGGGCTTCGGCGTTTTAACACTGGGCTAATCAACACTTCAAGACGCAGCGTCTTATTTAACATGGGGCTAATCGCAAAGCGCGTTTTAAATATGCACTTCGATGTATACTCTGTCACATTTTTAAGTATACACATTTTGAAGCTCAATAAAACATAATCTATGCCACCAATTACTTTCAAATTTACACACTGATTACGTGATATACCTGTCGCTGGTGAGCTGTTTTCAGATTTCTGAACGCGCGCGTGGCTTTGTAACTGCATGCGTGTTACATGTTTTGTATTTTATTAGAATTACTCATGATACGGCAATGGTTTGTTTAAAAAAGAAGCACACATCAAACTTTGTCATTTTTGTAACAATTCGCCAGTGATAAAACTTGCTTTGTCTACGTTTTATGATGCCACGCCCAGAGAGAAAATGTGCGAAATCAGCTTGTTGGAATGGTCCTCGGTGGTGCCTCAGTATCCACTCGTGCGAGACATTAATGTAACACGAAGAACTGTGTACACAACAATGGATCGTGAGAAAACAACAAAATCTGGAAAGGATCGACACCGGCAACGTGGGAGAAGAAAAACTACCCCGAGAGAGGATCTTTTTATACTCCTGTTGCATCTACGGAATCGTTTCAAAACGGCAAGACAAACCAGAGATGAGTTGAACAACATGAGACAACCCCAGCCTCAGACACTTCCTCAACTTGAAAGAATATAGCATGAAGAGTGGAATAATATCCCTCAACAGGCAGTGCAGCGGTTGATTGATTCATGTATGGCAGCCATCAACGTAACTAATCGTGTTACTTTTGTAGACCACCCCCCACACTCTTGTAAGTCGTGAATAAACCTGTTATGTTAACATTGCACATTGTTGTTGTTGTTTTCGTTTTCAAAATTGATTGAATTCGTATTCTTGAAATTTTAAAGAATATCGCCTCATTGTGAAACTAGCTATTTTCATTTTAACACAGAGTATACTTAAAAATGTGACAGAATATATTATATACTCTTGCATTTTTAACTTCACACATTTTAAGAGGAGCTCAGAAAGCTACATTTCCAATTACTTTGAAATTTTTACTCATGTCACGCAAGCTTAATGTCATTTGTCAACTGTACTCACTAGTACTCACTGATCTATCTTTTTATAGGACAATATCGTTCAAGGAGTTGTTATATTTTGTCAAATATTGTGAAAATGTGTGAGTGACTGAAAACAAAAACTACACACGCAAAGTTGGACTCCTTCCAAATTTTTCGCAACTTCAAAAAGGGACTTTTCTTTATCAATTCACAATGTTTCAGCTTAATGAATCAGAAAGAAATCACATCATTGAAATGCTGCAGGTGGGCACTCCGCTTTCGTTACTGGCAAGAATGTTCAACGTGAAGGGACACACTGTGTATACCACACGGGACCACATGGCAACGATAACTCCTAAAAGGACAGACCCAAGCGAGTAGGACGCTGCAAAAAGACAAAACGGAGGGTGGACGTATTCATCCTGACGCAACTCTTGAGAAATCAATTTCAATCGGCAAACAGAGACCCTGGGTGACTGGGAAAGACTTAGAAATGACAGTCTATTATTTTACACTACAGTTTTTCTTCATTTGAAAGAGGGGAACCTTCGTGGAGGGGCTACTTCTGTCCCCGTCGTTTTATTGAAGAAAAATTCTGAAATTTTAATTATGCAAACTGAGCTCAAAATGTGAAACTATGCGATTCTGTTAATTTTAACAAAGAATGATAAAGGAAAATAATCTGAAATTATGCCAAAAAAATGATCAAATTTTGCTAAATTATGCAGGGTGCATAAAACCACGGGTACAGCTAGTTTGTCGCATAAAACGGCAGCCCCATCACATCGAGCACAGACTTCACTGAGCACAGGCGTCGCCTGTAATGGTCACGTCGTATTTAGAATATGTGCATGTTTTCATATGAGTCCCAATTTCGACTGGTAAAGCACGATGTGCGGACCAGAGTCTACAGAAAACCCACCAAAGTTTACGACCAAGCTTGCTTCAGATAAGCAAATAATTTCGGTGGAAGTTGTGTCATGGTGTGGGCTGGTATCATCAATGACCACACTTGTGTCTGTTCATGGGAACATAACAGCTCAAGGCTAAATCAACCGAGTTCTCGTGCCCAATGTACTTTTCTTTCAAAATCAAGCTCAAGTATTCATGCATGATTCCCCTTCTGCATCCATGATCTCTACTAATGCATTCACTAATATCAATTCAATTAATCACTTGCGGGAACAAGCCTTAATAATTAAAGAGTGGAATATCATCCCTCAATAGACAATCCACGATTCATCCCTCCCATGCTTCGACGATGTGAAGATGTGAACAACGCCAGATGTCATCACACGTCACCAAAAGCTGAACTTCTCATTTAGTATGATTTAGACCCCTGACAACTGTTAAGGTCCAAATTGAAGATTAAAAACATTCTTAACTTTACATTCGATGTGTTTCCCTCGTAAAATGAATGCCCTGTCTAATCTGAAATATTCAGATTAATTTGATAACTAAGAATCAAGATATTGCCATATGAGGTGTCAAGTTAAAAATGTTAAAGAGTATATTTTGTGTGTTTATGTGTGTGTGTGTGTGTGTGTGTGTGTGTGTGTGTGTGTG